TGAATTTAAGTTTAGTTTTGACTTGGATCTCATCGATACTTGGAAGGTACCGTGGACTTTGTTGAGTTCTTGCTGTAGCTTGAGTATGTAAGCCACCGGACCAACCCTTGCTAGGATTTCAAAAGGTTCGATGTATTGGGGATTCAGATTACCTCATTTTCCAAATCTAATGACACCTTTCCATGGTGCGAATTTCAGTAGAACATTGTCTCCTACTTCAAATTTGAGTGGTTTATGTCTCACGTCAGCATAGCTTTTTTGGCAACTATGTGTGCCCTTTAACCTTTCCTTGATCTGAAAAATCTTCTCTATGGTTTCTTGAATGATTTCAGGGCCAATACGTAAAGTATCTCCCACATGCTTTCTAGCCAGTTGCATATCACCAACTTTTGCCCAACATAGAGGAGAACGACACTTATGCCTATACAAGGCCTCAAATGGAGGAGCCTGGATATTGGTGTGATAACTATTATTATATGAAAATTCAACTAGTGGTAAATGGACATCGCATGCATTACCAAAGTCTATCATGCTGGAGCGAGACATGTCTTCCAGGGTTTGTATTGTCCTTTCACTATGTCCATTTGTTTGATGACGATAAGCGACACTCATGTCTAGTAGAGATCTCTGCAGTGTTTGCCAAAACCTAGAAGTGAATATGTTATCTCGGTCCGAGATAATAGATATTGGCAATCCGTGCAGTCTGACTATTTCATTGATGTAGGTCTTTGTGAGTTTCTCCATCTTGTCGGTTTCTTTAATGGCTAGGAAGTGAGCGGATTTAACCAAACAGTCGACTACAACCTAAATGGTGTCATAACCGCTCGAAGTTGTCGACATCCATGTGTATTTGTTCCCATTTCCATTCTGGAATCAATGGTTATTATAGTAATCATGATGGTTTCTGGTACTCTAGTTTGACTTTGGCACAAGTCAAGCATTTATCGACATACGTGGCAATCTTTGCCTTCATCTAAGACCACCAACTAAGCTTCTTAAGGTCGAGATACATCTTGTATGATATGGGATATATCAAATATATCCACATATGTGCTTCATTTAAAACTAGATTCCTGACTTCACCAAACATCGGGGTCCAAATTCAGTTCTTGAAATATCATGTTCCATAGTCCTTGACGTCGAACTACTTGTACATTCCCCATAGGTTCTTTTCCATGATATTTTCGGGTTTGAGGAATTCCAATTAGGCAACTGTAACTTGGGTGGTGAGATTAGAGTGACTTTTGAGGGTTACAACCTTTACACAAAGTAGTTTTGCTCGTTCCTTCCAGTTCAAAGCTTCTGCTACAACAGTCGCTTTACCTGGATAATAATGAATTTCACATTCGTAATTGTTTAGCAACTCCACCCATCTTCGTGTCTCATGTTGATCTCTTTCTGATCAAAGAAGTGTTGGAGACTTTTGTGATTGGTGAACACGATACACTTCATTCTGTATAGGTAGTGTCTCCAAATCTTTAAGGCAAACACTACAACTTCCAACTCTAAATCATGGGTAGTGTAGTTTTTCTCGTTAGGCTTACGTTGTCTGGATGCATATGCAATTACTTTATCCCTTTGCATCAGTATGTATCCTAATCTTGGAAAGAGACGTCGCAAAATACTACAAAGTCGTATGTTCCCTCTAGGAGAGACAGAATAGGTGCATTGCATAATGATTGTTTCGACCTTTGGAAGACGGACTCTTGACTATCTCCCCAATCAAATTTCTTTTCCTTTTGAGTTAGAGCAGTGAGAGGCTTGGCTATCTTAGACAAGTGCTTAATGAATCTCTAGTAATAGCTCACAACTCCTAGGAATTGGCGTACTTCATTTGGCGTTGTTGGTGCTTTCCATTCCCTAATCACTTCAATCTTCGTAGGGTCAACATGAATCCCTTTGTCGTTGACCACATGACCGAGGAAATACACTTCGTTGATCCATAATCACATTTTGAGAACTTTTCATAAATTTTCTTCTTCATTAGTAGTTCCAGAATCAATCACAAGTGTTAGCCATGTGCTTCCTTGGTTCATAAGTATATTAAAATTTCGTCAATAAAGACGATCAAAATTTGTCCAAATAGGGTCTACACACTCGATTCATAAGACCCATGAATACAGTTGGTGCGTGAAAGGGTATAACCAGAAACTCGTAGTAATCATATCGAGTCCTGAATGTCGTCTTTGGAGTGTCTTCATCTTGAATTTTGAGTTGATGATAACCAGCTCTCATGTCGATCTTCGAGTAGTAGCAGGATCCTTATAGCTGGTCGAACAGGTCATCTATCCTCGAAAGTGGATATCTGTTTTTTATGGGGAGTTTGTTCAACTCTGATAGCCGATGCACATCCTAAACAATACATCTTTCTTTTTGCCAACTAATACCGGAGCTCCCCAGTGTGAGAAGCTTGGCCGGATAAAGCCTTTATCAATTAGTTCTTGAAGTTGACTGGATAGTTCTTGCATTTTTTATGGTGACAGACGATAAGGAGATCTTGCCACTGGCGTTGCACCTGGGATTAAGTCGATTTGGAATTCAACCTATCTGACTGTGGGTGGTCCAGGAAGATCCTCTGGAAATTTCATCCAGGTAGTCACACACTTGTAGAATATGTTGATTTCCTTACCCTTGATTTGCATATCCACCACGTGGGCCACGAAATTGAAGCATCTCTTATATAAGCACTTTCTTTCCTTCATACAATATATGACTCTTAGATTCTTCCTTGATTTATCTCCATAAATCACAAGAGCTTAGTCATTGGGTAAGGGTATTTGGACGACTCTCTTATCGCATAGAACTTCGGCTCAATGAGGCGATAACCAATCCATTCCAATAATTACATCAAAACTTCCAATGGTCATAGATATTAGGTTGACATGAAAGGCGTGGTTATTCAAGATGAGAAGGCAATTGGTAAGTATTTCTAAGGTACTTTCTACTTGGCCGTTCGCCATTTCTACCATATAAGCCTCATTAAGTTTGCAGGATTTATGGTTTAGCATGCTTCTAAACTTATGATCAATGAAGCTCTTATCGGAACCAATATCAAACAACACGGAAGAAAAAATATTATTAATAGTAAACGTACTAGTAACCACAATTGGTTCCTGGAAAGCATCTCCTGCAATGATCACAAATGCTCTTCCTTTACCCCCTAATTCTTCAATTTCGGGCAGTCCTTCTTAAAAATGCCATGTTTGATTGCATTCAAAGCAGTTGCAACTTCCTCCTGTAGCAGTGGTGGATTTCGTTGTGTTTAGTGCCTTTCTGCAGTACCTTGCAATTTGACCTTTCATACCACAGTTGTTGCAAGTTATATCCCTGCGATTTCCAACATGATGGAAGTTGTGTTTGGTGTAGTGGGGCAGGGTTCCAGTGTAGGACTTGGATGGGGTGGGAGTGTTTGTGATTACACAGACAACCATAGGTTTTGACTTGGGTTTGTGATGCTTGGGGTTACCCATTGACTTTCCCTATAATTTTTTCTTCATGCTCTGATTCTGTTTTTCTTGTGGGGACATGCTACCCTGACAGATACATTGTTCAGCCAATTGATCGGCTAATTGCTTAGCACTATCAAATGTAGAGGGTCTAGATGCAGTCACCAGACCTTAAACTGGCGAAGGCAATCCCCAACTGTACCTTTCAAACTTCTTATTTTTTTGGGGTCACCATTCCTAGATAGAGATTTGCAAGGTCGTTAAATCGATAAGTGTAGCTAGCCACTTCCAATCCTTTCACAATGAGATTCCAGAGTTGCTGCTCCAGGGTCTGAACTTCCTGTCGGGAGCAGTACTCTTTGATCATCATTTGTCTCATGGGTTCCAGCCCATGGCATAAGCTGATGGTTTTTGAGCAAAACATCATTCTTATGGTGTACATGCAAACCCTAATAGCTTTTGGATCTAGTTTGTCTAATGAACATGCAATTGAATATCCAAAGCTATAAACCCTAGATCTAGCATACAATTAATCATATTAACATAAGATTAGGGTTTAGATCTTACCTTGATTGTTATGTAGCAATAACAATCTCAAATCCTCCTTTGAATTGGCTTTAGAAAGCTTAGAGTCACAAGTATCACTCCTCTAATGGCTCACAAACACCAAGAGCAAGAGGATGAAGAATGATGAGAGAGGAGGCACCCAAAAACGTGTAGAAACCCTAAGGAAACACTTCACCACGTTTTTGGTGCTCTAGGGATCCTTAAATAGTGAGGCTATTAGGGTTATCTAACAAGCAAACACTAATTTGACTGCTTAGGCCCTAAGCAACCCATGGACTCCCTCCTTAGAGGCCTTGGATGATTTCTAATGGGTTTCCCCATAGAATTCGTCCACCCCTCTAATATGGAGTCCATTAGCCCAATATTCAACTATCATACAATTGACAGTTCTAGTCGCTTAAGTTTAATTAATGTCTTTTAGCCACAAAATTAATTCTTATTAATTATTGACAAATATTAATTAAACAATATGATTTCTCCTTTAATATATTATTCTCATAATATATTAATAAATCATAACTACCCCTCTCTCCATAATTCATCCTATCAAGTTGCTTTGATGAAGGCAACCCAAAAGGACCATGCACCATCGGGTCAAGTACATACCAAAATAGTTATGGACTTAGACACTGATCCAACATAAGCTTCATCGATCCCTATGGACTTAGCATGGTTATTCCACCAAGTTAGGGCAGAATCCATTAGTATGCAAGTAGCATACTTCACACGGCAGTCCTCAGTGCAAGCACTAATGTGAAACACTGTCTCCATCCTTTCTATCCAGCGAGATAGACCAACAGCTCCTTTCGTGCGGTAGAAGAGTCAGGGTTTGTAGCCCTTGAAGTCCTTGTATGAACAAGGCCTTGAATTGTTTTGGTTCAAAGTTGGAGTGTCGCAACCATTTCTGTTGTTTCCATAGTTGTCATTCCGAGCAACCTCATATGCAGCTATTGTTGTAGCAATTCCTTGTGCAAGTAAGTTTTCTATCTAAGTGGAATCCATTTGAAATGGTGGGTTTGATGTATTGACAACCTGTGGGGTTTCTTCTGGAGTTCTTTCGGAGTTTGAATTACCACCAGTGCACCCTATTAGTTGCTTTGGGGAGTTGGTGGTGGATAAACTCGTGGACTCTTTCATGGGGCCATTATCCTAAAATTTTGGAAAAGACACGTTTAAGTTGTTTATATTTCTTAGCCATGAACAATTATATATAAGTTGTATTTTTATGAAATATATTCCCAAATTCTCATAGATCTCTATGTTACATAGTGAAAGTTTTTATTCGATAGTTTACCAAGTAATCATGATATTTTATAAGCAATACAGGCAATGATTTTCAACATTTAATAAAATACTGAAAATAGATTCATAAATTAGAATTTCTTGCTTTTGGTTACAAAAGTACTAACCGTGTAAAGTTAGAAAGGGAAAAGCTTTACAAAAGAACAATTTCTAAATAGGCAGAGATAAACACTTGCAATACAATTAACTATTCCAACAAAATTCCTAACCCTACCCTAGGGAAAAATCCACCCTAGCTGAATGCCTACCATCCTAAGCGGTAAATCAGGTAACTGACAAGCTCCTCAAATTGCTCCTGAAGTTGACATCGCTCTTGTTATTCAATGGTCACTCTATGATCGGCTGCATCCAGTCAGCTCTAGATAAACTGAATCTGATACTTTAGGGCCCATACATGGGCACCCATGGCATTTGCCTCAGCATGACTAACACCCATACTCTGATAGAGGATTTGGATGGCTTCTGAATCATCCTTCTCCTCCTCCACGAGTCTTTCAACTCGTCGCTCGATCGCTCTAGTGGTAGTACCTGAAGCTCTAACAAGCTCCTCTAGGGACTGGACTCGGTCTACTATTATGTCGTCCTGATCCTCAGGATCACAACCGAATGGTGCGTGTGGTAGAGCCTGAGAAGACTTGCCTCTCTTAAATCGTGGAGGACCATCAGTAATCCTTCTCTTGTTGAGCATGTCGATAAGCCAAGTTGGCTCAGGGGATGAACTCGGTTTCCTTTTTTAATCACTGATGGGTCAGGAAAGGCAAGGGAAGGTGTCTAGGTGAGACACTAGGGCAATAATTAACTTGGAGTCCTCTTCAACAGGGGAATCTTGACGTGATGAAAATATAGGAGATAACACGGCCTAGGTTGGGAAAGAGGTGGAGCAGGGATAGACTCTTTATCTATGAGTCCATCCTCTTCCTCAACTGGGTCGTCATCGTCCAGTTCATCATGTATATCCTCAAGTATACCTCTTTCTTAGACTCTACAACCTCCTCAGGATCGTCTTCATCTTCAGAATGGTCTTCATCTTCATTCTTTGAAGCGTCTTCCTCTTCAGCAGGGTCAGCCGGGGAATCTTCCAAAAAATATGGGTCCCCGGCTAAGTGCATCGAAGACTCATAATGATCCTTGTGGTTTGCAGGGTCAATCCCATATTGGTGGTTGTCAGCTATCTGCATCAAGAGGTTGGAAAAATCATTAGTAATTTAGAGATTAGTTTTAAATGTATAAGTGTTTTAAAGTCAGTATATGGATTCTAAGAAACTAGGTATCTTCAGCGTATCTTGAGAACATCCTCTAAACTCAAACTCTCAACTATTGTAGTCTATCAAACCCGTTGCTCAAGGTTGGTTATTTACCAGCCTGTCCATAAGTAACATTGGCGTGCATTCCATATTTACTTATGGTGTGAGTTACGTACAATACTAACCTTAGTTGAGGCATTTGACCTAATTGGTTGAGTTGGTAGTTTTAATTGAAGGGGTGTTTATAATTTTATTAAGTGTTCTAATTATGGGTCAGAATATATATTAAACTCTTATATATTAGTGTAGGTGAGGTTTTTGGTACTATTAAATTTTGTTTTGTACTTCGAGACTATAGATTATAGACAAGGGCTAGACAGCAAACACCAGAGGCAGGACCGTTTTGGCAATTAAGTCGTTCTGAAATCTAGCAACCCTATATGGCCCTTCAAACCAAATTCCCCGTACCACAAGTAGCTAGGAAGTAGTGTAGTTATTAATAATACTTTTATTAGGAGCCTGTAGCTATAGTTGTATTTCCTCTGTCGAGGATACGAGATCTCTATAGCCAATTTAGCTTTGATACAAATCTGTCACACTCACGGCCGAGGCGGTGGAATACACTGGGTTGTGCGACTTAGGTCAAGGTAGGACTCCCACAATATGTTCCTTTCCTTAATTAGCTTAGTAGAGGGGGTTGACTTCTATGGTCCAACTGGCAGAAAAGAGGGAGAGAAAAAGATGTGAGAGAGGGAGAGATGGTGAGAGAGGGGGGACACGTAAGAGAGAGTGGCTGGTCCATGGTGATCCCGTATGACCAAATTCCTAAGGGCGTGTTTGGCAAAAGTAGTTGTTAGCTGGAAGCATGTAGTGGTTAGCTACTAACGGCTAGCTGGTAGCGTGTAGCAGGTAGCTGGTAGCGGGAAGTTGTAGCTTTTATTTGTTATATGAATGTTTGGCGAAAGTAGCTGGAAGCTTTTGAAATATATAAAATTACATAAAAGGACAATTGATTAAAATATATATATATATATATATATATATATATATATATATATATATATATATATATATATATATATATATATATATAAGGGTAATTATGGAAATTAATTTCAAAAGCTCAGGAACTTTTTGTTAAACGCTACATGAAGTAGCTTTTAGAATCAGAGCGTTTTGTTAAAACTAAAAGCTAAACGCTCGTACTACCAAATGAAATTTTTTGTTTAAACTAGAGCGTTTTATCAAAACCTAAAAGCTAGAAGCTCCCAAACGCTTCCAAAAGCTTCGTGCAAACAATGTCCTAAGTGTTAAAGTATTATTGCATTAAAATGTTACAAAAATGGATTTCGATTTGCGTATCCAATTTCCGACATCTAAATATTTTTCCAAAGGCATCAAATGAAAATTTAATTTCAACAGTTCCAAAAACCCAAACGGATAAATTTTCGAGTTGTAGAACTCCGGGAAGTGTCTAATTGGTCTGAAACGTCTTATTTTTCGACTTTTACAAATGATTTTATAAAAATATTTTAAACGTCTGATTTTTCGACTTTTATAAATATTTTTATAAAAATATTTCGAGTATGAAATCAAATATTAGACCGCAGCCAGAATCCAAAAACGCTTTCAGAATCTCCATATGAGGTGTACAAGTGTCTCAACAGATCAATACAATTTATCCAGTTCAGGTAAAATCATTGTTTTACCGGTTTGGTTTCTTAAAACAGTTGTAACTTTTGCATACGAACTTCGTTTTCAGTGTTCTTTATACTTCAGATTCAGGTAAACATGAACTACAAGTATAGAGTATTTTCTTTACTCACATATGCTAACTTCAAAATTTTAGTTTTTCAGACGTTAACTAAAGTTACAATTTTTTATTTATGATTCGGTTGAGATTTTTTACAACAGAAAGCAAGATACCATCTCATAACTTATTGTAATTGAAATGACACTACATCTTAGCCAAAATATACATTAAAAATTAATAGGTCAAGTTACAGGGAGGTTCGCAGGGATTTAGCTCTAAATTTCGGGATGTCATAGTTGACTTACATATTTATCATATTTTTTAACTGAATAAACATATTAATAGCAAAATTACTCTCTCTCTCTCTCTCTCTCTCTCTCTATATATATATATATATATATATATATATATATATATAGAGAGAGAGAGAGAGAGAGAGTTAGGTTCAAGTATTCTAACTAATTATTGTGTGGATATCATATGTTATGAGAATGATAAATAAAATATGTTGTTTGATAATATAAATACGTTCAATCTTACATAACTATTGTCATTAACACACATTCTCACTAATTAAATCGTCTATAAGGTTATTATACACTTTTTATTGTTATTCTCATTTCTATTAGAATGTTGTCAGAATGTTTATTGGGTCGTATTCTATCAGAATTAAAATCAGTGAAAAACGTTGTGAGAACAAAAATACATAATAATTAGCGAGAATGCATGAAAATGACAATATTTTTGTAAGGTTGAACGTATTCGCATTGCTAAACAACTACATATATATATCTTAAATTTTCAGTAATTATTCACAAAGTAAGACCATTATGTGATTTTTCAGCTTTTGTGTATTCACATGTATCTAATTTTGTTATATATTTCAATCAACTTATGATTTTAACTTATGATTTTGACATATATAATTTCCCTAAAAATATTTCTACATGAATTACCAAATCCGAGTACCCCCGAGTACTCCCGGGTACTCGCTACTCGGTAGTCGGCCGAACAAATACCGAGTAACGAGTTCTGCAACCTTGGCGTGTGTATGTATATCAAACATCCTTTTAATCGACTATTTGATAATTTATGTATATTTCAAAACAACAATCTTCTAGGCAAAACAAGTAGCGAAAACATGTCTTAAAGAAATGAGTTCTTAATAATTTAAAGTTTATCAAGACATACGATGATTGTGTACCAAAAAAAATCAAGAGATAATAGCTTAATAAGCAACTTACAACAATTACAATCTAATTTTATCATTGCCTTCTAAATTTTTAGAAGCTAAACTTTGTTTTTGGTTGTCACTAAATCTTATAAACTAAATACATATAAAAATACAATCATTAGGCTTTGATAATTGGGCCCAATGTCAACTTTTCAGGGGTGTTTGATGAGAGCAATCATCCAAATCTAAATTCAAACCTAAAAAATAGTTTCAAAACATTGAAAGGCTAGAGCTAAACAAGAACGTAAAAGAAGCATTTCCAAAAGTAAGCATTCTTAAAATATCTTCATGAATAAATCATCAATTTTATATATGTGCTTTTAAAGCATGCCTGATTCAAACTCAAAGTCGAGACTCACAATGATGGCTAGACTTACAAGATTTTACAAGAATAGCAAAAAGCCCACCACACACTTCATATCTATATGTATATATATGAATATCACATTTCTTATTTTATCCAAAACTAGGTTTTAGGGAGTCATCAATGTAATAAGCTGATGATTTTATCCAAAACTAGGTTTTAGGGAGTCCTCAATGTAATTAGTTAATGATTGATAATTATGTAGTTTAATATGGTTATATATGGTTTAATGTATTATGAATAAGCCATACATAAACTTGTATGCGATTAAATAGCATGTATATTTTTTGATTTATAGATTTTTTATCATAATAAATAATGAAATTTTTTACTACTAGTTTAAAATTTTAAATGTAATTTTTATGTAGACGTAAGTATTTAATGTAATTAGTTGATGATTGATTAGATATGGATTCTCATTTGTGGTTGTCTATTTATGTTGAACCTCATAAAAATACATATTTAACGATTTTGTTAGTTTTACTATTGAATAGAAAATGGTGCCGTATTTTAAGTAAATATAAAAAATCTCATTTTCAGTCTATTTTAAGATAGTGACATATTGTAAGTTAATATAAAAAATCATATTCTAGAACAAATTAAAAGAATAAACGGAGTCAAAATTTTTAACTATAATAAAGTTGATTTCAATTAAAAAGTGTTCAATCGAAGATAATATCATTCAGTAAACATCATAAGATACTACGTTATATTCAAATTACATACATCATTTTTGTAAGAGTCATTTAAAATATATGAGACTATAGTGCCTAATACAACAATGTAATAACCAAATGATCCTAACATATTTTAAATGAAATATAATTATAATATATTATCTATGCAACTAATATGGTATTCTTCTAATATGTGAGATTCGTCTACTATATGATCCTAACTATGTGAGATTCGTTTACTATATAGTATTCTTCTAATATATTATATTATAATATAAACATTATATTTGGAAAACCACTTTGAGTTATATTGTAGTTTATAACATTAAATTTGTGATGGGCTCTATTTGACACACATTGGTGTATTTATATCTATATTATATATTTAAAACAAATCTTATATAAACATCCAGCCT